AATTTCATTCTAAGACTGATGAGAAGCCATTGGGGAGTTATGACCAGAGGTGACAAAATCTGATCACCATTTTAAGTCTCACTTTGGCTTCTGTGAATAGAGGATCAAGGGACAAGACCAGAAATTGGAAAAGGGTTAGAAGCCCACTACAGTAACCCATAAAATTCCTGAGATTACTTCAGAATCTCTCTAGAGGATTTGCTAATGGCATTAATTTACAATCTAGTCTTCAACTTGGCAGCCATTAGTGCCTTGCCCTGTGAATATATAAGAACTTGGGGTTCAATGCTTCAGGTTCTAGCAGAAGACTGGATTCTCTCCCCAGGAGTACCTCCACCTCAAACCAAGGTCGTTAATCAAGGCTTTCCTACAAGAAAACACCTGCCTGGTCCAGGGCTAGATGGGGGATGTAGGGAATCACTGATTCTCTAAACTCATATGGATGGTGGTGTTCAGCCCTTTTCTGGGCCTCCCAGGTTTGTATTGATAGGAGGGGGAAAGGTCTGCAGAGGACTAGCTCTGCATACAGAAAGGTAGAATTGAACTTGTCCCTAACTTTAACTAGAGTGAGCAAATTGTTCTATAAAGAGCCAGAGAGTAAAAATTTTAAGAGTGATATGTTCTTTGTCACACATTCTGAATGGATGGGCATTACATGGAATTTTTGACCCCAAACCATAGGTTGCTCTACTCCTCCCTGAGAGAGACAGTGACTATCCTAGGCCTCCTGATTCTCCAGTCAAGTAAATGCATTGGTGTCTGTAGTTGATCCTTCATTCACTCAATAAATATTTATTGAGACCTCTTTATGTGCCATTCACCAAGTAAGGAGGCTAAGAAGGCCCCTGAATTGGATCACAGTACAAACAAACAACAAAAACAACAACATCAAAAACAGAACTAATATTCCTGGAACACAATGAGCAAAGGGGAAAATGGTAGGGAATGTGCAGGTCAGGCAAATGGATCAGACGTCAATGGATCAGATCTGCTCCACAGAGGTAGGAGTAAAGAGGGGAGTAAGACATGAAGCAAATAATCACAGAGCTCAATACATGAATGCAAAGTAATATAAATGCTGGAAAGGAGGCGAGCCAGCTGCTATGAAAGCTAGCAATAGGCAAAGCCTCTCTGAGGTTGTCCTTTAAGTTGAGTTCTGAAGGATACACATAGTAAGCATGCATGACAGGAAGAACAATCTTGGCAGAAGGAAAAACATGTATAAAAGGGTAAGAAATTCTATTTTATTAAAAGTACAACTGGGGCTCTGCCATCCAATCCCTTCACTTCATATCGACCTCCAGACCCCACCCCACCCCACCCCCGCTTTCCTCTTTTCTCTGTGTGTGTGTGTGTGTGTGTGTGTGTGTGTTTCCCCTTCCCCACCATTTAGAAAAGAAAAAAGTACAATAGGGAAGCAAGAGATGTAATTCAGTGGAAAGCATTTGCATGTGCAAGGCCCTGTACTGGATCCCCAGTACTGCAAAAA